CGCAGATCCGGCGCTTACCGGAGAACATGAATCTCGCAGAATGGGAAAAGGGGGTTTACCACCTCGACAAAGCACCGCAAGGGTTAGACGCACAACGACTTGCAAATTCTCGAGCCGTTGGTTTAGGCCCTGGTAAGTTTATCGATGTAAGGGGATCAATCCACTTACAGTTCACGATATGAAAGGTGTTTCGGCTATGATCACCGCCGTATCGACATAAAACGAAGTACCACAACAAGGTCTCTGGTTGGAAGAGATGGCATCCCCAACTCGGGATTACTAGTAAGTCGCTCTGTTCAACTGATATATCCTAGTCTTGACAGGATCGTAGTGCCAGAACGCAAGTTTTTTGGCAATACAAGAAAGAGCTGAAGAACCGGGAGAAGTATGGCATCCAGGATGAATATGACCAGATCGAAGGCAACAGCGCCAACGTATCGACGGCTGTCGATTACGAAAGACACATACGCATTATATCACAGATACGAAACAGGTAAGCGAGATTCATAAATGGTGGCTCGACTGTGCTCTGACGTTACCGTATCAGGATGAAATACTTCAACTCGCATTTTAAGCATCGGGAAATCAGGGCGACCCTGTCAAGTGCACGCCAAAGTGTACAGCACCAGCTGAAAAACCAGCTCTTGGGTGCTACACCACCGATCCGCCAGGTACATGGTTTTAATTGTGCTATGTTTCACGCTCCTAAACAATCATGCACTTTGTAGAGAACCCGTATGCACTTCATACATCGTACGACAAAAAAGACAAAGAAAAAGATGGCATCGAAACCAACGTCTAGCGGCAATTGCGTCTTCGGGGTGGGTGAGGAATAATCATCCAACAATCATTTTTTGGGGCGATGGCGAGATGCCCGCGTTGCCTGGCTTCGCACCTATACCCCATGTGGTAAGACCTTCTATCGTATCCAGTGGTATCGGGAGACAAATGAGTTGTATCTGGTGTAACATGCGGTAGCTTAAGAATAGACTATTTTCAATTGTGTTTCTCTCTCTTTTCCGGAATAAATCTCTCCTATAAAGAGTCTCACGAATTACTTCGTCCACACACACACATAACCACACCAAACACTTCACCTTCCTGCAGCCTATGGAATATATTATATTTCTAACCATGTATTAGGGACTTCTGCTCTTCGTTGCTAAATTCGCCCTCGTAATCCTTGTATCTGAATTTATGACATCGCAGATACATTCATCATGCAATGCAAGGTTGCTCTCGGTTCCAGGTGTGTACATTCGCACCAATCACAGGTAAAACATATTTACAGCGTTGGCAATACTCTAATATGTTTTTCTTTTAGCATGAAGCGTCGTCGCAGAGAGACTCCAGTCACTCACTCACGCGGACGGGACGTAAAGTGGTGCGTCGATGATGAAGGTGCTTGGCTACATCGCCAAGAATGGTGCCCAAACGGGCGATATCATGGTACGTCAAAATGCCCTGCTTCATTCCCTACTCACCAGAAAAGATATAGCTGGTCAAATTTGGTCAGTTAAACAGTGCACCGATCATCAAAATGCTGTAGTGAGTAACAAAAGCGGATATATGGTCGAGGTTTTCCTGATGTTCATTTCGTAGATGGTGGATCGTGACCTAAATGCAGCACGCAATATGAGAAGAATTGGGGTGAGCTACATGATGACGAATGGAGACCCTTTGCACAGACCCCCGCCACTTCGAAGAAATATTATACATCCCATGATAGGCCTCCAATAAAGTTGCGCCACAGCCTTAGTTTTTGGGTCTGGTGGTGGTTGAGACTTGCCCCCCCCCCCAGCCATGTTAGCTGGACCCAAAGTAGTATAAACTAGAAGTTATAGTGAAAAGCATATGATCTATTACAATCCATTGTGCTTCTCGACATCGTAAAATGGTACTTCTAGTCCCACTTATTGGTGACTTCGTTTGTTCTTGCTACTGAATGCTAACCTTTGGAGCAATACATACAGTATTTCCAAAAAGTAATGTCGCTATCCGTAAAAATCAATGTCGCCAAGGTCCAATTTTTTATAATATAAAATATACAGCGACTTCCATTTTTGGAACGACATTGATTTCTTTGGTAGCGACATTGGTTTTTGGAAGCACTGTATGTGCCCCAATATATAGTTGAAGAAGAAATTGCATATTCCTCTTGGTTAGAAATTCAACCGGTTCGGATTTGAAACATTACATGAGCGATATCACGTTTCCTGAGATGATACTGATATCATTACTAGCCAGTTTCCGTCATATTATACTCCTGTTTATAGAACCACACAAAATATAACGAGCAGATTATTACGTCCATTTCATCCGTTAAATATATATATATATACTTTTGGAGCTTTAAGGCATCTTCATAGAAAGCGTGCTCATAATTGTATGTATAGCAAAGTACGGATATAAATGAGCTCCCAATTCATACTGGACCATCACAAGAGCCTATCGCTCTAACTAGAATTGACACGAAAGTTACTATTTGAATTGGAAATATTAATATTCATTTTGGATCTACGATTACGCAGTTAGGACATAACATATTTAATACACGTTTCTGTAAAGCGCCACTAAGGCGAGGATATTACTAACTACATAATGCTTTTTATACCTTACGGTTATTCCATGAAGAATCAAGCTCTAGACTTTACAATTAAACGACTATAGGCAACGAATAGTGAAAAGAGTAAAGGGTGGTATCACTTAACGCGAAAAGGCTTTCGAATGACGAGACCATAACAAGATGATACTCTATTGTGAAAACTACGTACCCTCTATTTATACTAATGATACTTCGGGACGGGAGACGACAATGCCTATTTCTGATAGCCCAAACATCCTTGTTATTCCCGAGTCTCTAGTAACCTTGCCATCTAATGTCAATGAGGCCGAAGGCTATACAGAGCCGTAGATAACCAAGTTGCCTTGCTGCTTGATCGGTAAAGTTGGACCAAGGTTGCATATGCGAGCAAATGGAGTAATCGATAACTGTACGGCCGTTGATGTCGCAGTAATAACAGTGGCTATATTATAACCGAGGACTAAGAGAAGCCAGGTATGTATGAAGGAAAAGTTCCCAAAGGCCAAATTTAGTCAAATTTGGCCATACTTGTCCAAGCAGGGCTCAACATGTGTCGCTGGCTGGGGCCAAGCAGCGGACAGAGAGAATGATTTTCGAGCCTTGGGAATTGTCGTTGAACCGTCGTATGACCTTTGGCCGGTAGTGCGATCAATCTGATAAAATCGCGGCGCCCTTAATCGCTCATGAGAAACATAGTCCCCATCGTACCAGAGGTATCAATAATATTCAGATGATTAAAAGATAATGGGCTTGTTACGGAAACATATAGTTGAAAAGTATTGACTTTATTATGGAAGACTTGTTGACCTGCTTCTGTAGGTATGTGGTCGCTCCGTTGGGGTACGAATGTTTAGAGATATATAAGATAGAGTGGATGTCATATCTGAAAAATTCTAACGAGAAAAAGACAGGCAGCGGTGAAAGAGATGATGATATAAGAAATAAGGCAAGAGAGAAAAGAAACTGTGGAGGCTTAATACCGGAGAGATGGTATTACTTGGTAATACAGAGATAACCGCACTATGTGTGACTTCTTGTGGGCTCGGATGTGCGGCCTTGAAGGGCCTCTTCTGGCACCAGCTCGCCATCATCGTAATCCTCGTTCGGATGGCTCAGCCCGTCGATCTTTTCAAGGACATGCTGGAGTGCTGGCCGGCGTCTTCCATTTATCTCGGGTCAGACCGGTATTGGAACGCGGTAAGCTGTATATTTCTGTCAGAGCTTAAATGAAGCATTCTAATGTGAAAGGTACTTTCCTTGCTTTCCTTGCGTAGCGTATATCGCTGTCATGCTTTTCAGTTGGTGTGCAAAAAGATACGGTAAAGACAGCAGTTTTTTGGTCCGATGAATGCTTCTACTTTGTGTGCTGCCTTCACTAATAGTAGCTTGGAAGGCAGCAATGACCTAGGAAATGCGCCGTTAGAATAAGTTAGTATCACCTCAGATACGACGAAGTAAAGTTGCGGATATAATTTATATTGTCCATAGTTTAGATTGATTTCCCTTATGCTTTTGGTTTACTAGCTCATCATTCTCACAGCCGAATGGTACAAAAGGCTCTGGGAAGCCGTATCCACCGGGAAACCTTTCCGCTGCGTGACATTCAACAATGGTAAAGACAGGTAAGCGACGAGACTCAAGTAATAACTGATTTATTTCATATGTTGGATCGTGACATGGTTGTAAGACACATCCACCGCTGTAGTAACCAGGGTTATGTGGGTTTCACTGTATACGCAAGGTTATTACGAGGAACGCATGCCAAGAACAGAAATGTTGCTGTAGATTGGAAAATTTATGCAACTTGTTGTCAATAGCAGACAAAAGTAGGTGATGCATGAGCTATGATCATGTTGTTGATACAACACACTGAAAGGAAAGCAGTAACCGTGAATGATGGTATGTCGCGGACATGATACGGAATTGGCAGCCACACACTAATACCTGCAATAGGCATTCCAAGAGCGAAAAAAGGCACAGGCGCCGTGTATAAAGCATCGTTACACGCCCAAATGCCCTCTTTAGTAAAGCATGCTAAAGTGGCTCACAATATAACATGGCCTGCGCACCTCAACCAGGCGATGCGACGCTACCAGGATGGATTTGTCGTAATAGCTTTTGCGCCGCGTAGCAGCCTATCTCATAGCTGATTACAAGAGCAGATGTTTACCAGGTCAAAAGCTAAAGTTTTATTTTGTGCGCACAGGCAGCCTTTTATAAGGTTGCAGTGTGCCGCAGCAGGTGTAACCTTCTATTCTAAAAATATACATGACAGATTTGCCGTGAAGAATGACCGCAGTACCGCCGAGAAAAAACAGGCAGACGCTGTGCACAGCACTGGCAACATTGCTAAAAAAAAATGCCAGCCTCCGACCTCCGCAAAAGTATTTTCTGAGTTTCGCAACTCATTTTCTGATAGCGAAAGATGGTTTCGATCCATCGACCTTTGGGTTATGAGCCCAACGCGCTAGTCCTCTGCGCCATTTCGCTGATCCATGTTTATCTTACTCGTCTTTAAAGGAAGACAATATGGTAACAATAATTCTGAAAAAAAAACCAATTTTTTGTATTTTCTTGGCAATTAATCCAGCTTTTGGGCTGATATTGCGCTGCTATGTGCACAAAAAACTGTAAAATAATTGTTGCAGGTTTGACAGCTATTAAATATGTGTTTGATTTTATATTAATAATTTTGTTATTTTAAAATTATTAATAATAGTTGCTACTGTTGCTATTATAGCAACTATTACTATAGCAATGATGTCACTGTTTTTTTTTTTGCTTTGACATACCGCTATCAGCACACCAGCTATACCAGTTTGGTTTGTAACTACTTTTTGATATTACTCTACTATTATTGTATTTATAATATAATTATAACTTATACATTACTCTTTTTTTAATATATATATAATATAATATTTAACAATAATAAAAGGTAGGTAAGTAACGAGACTTAAGTAATGACTGATTTAATTTGTATGTTAAATTATTGACACAGTTGTAAGGCATATAAACTGCTGTGATAACCAGGGTAATGTGGGTTTCACTAAGATAGGCAAGGTTATTATGATGAATGCATGTCAAAACAGGGATGTGACTGTAGATCGGAAAATCAAAGTGTGATATTCAACAATAGTAAAAGGCAGGTAAGTGACGAGACTCAAGTAATGACTGATTTATTTCATATGTTGAATCATCACTTTAAATAATAAAAGCTTATTCTCGAGAGGTTGGATCATTGACATGGTTGTAAGGCACATGAACCGCTGTGGTAACTAGGGTTATGTGGGTTTCACTAAGATAGGCAAGGTTATTACGATGAACGCATGTCAAGACAGGGATGTGGCTGTAGATCGGAAAATTAAAGTAACCCGTTGTCAATAAGCAAACAAGGGTAAATGATGCATAAGCCATAATCATGTTGTGGATACAACAATATACTAAGGCTCTAGGCCAATTCAGCTGAGCCACACCTGCAGCTGATGATTCATCAGGCTAAAAAAAAAGAGCCAAGTCTTTTTGTCGTATCCTGACATACCAGTCATTCATTGTCTACAGACCTTTCCATCTCAGCCTTTGTTACATCCGTTCCTTTATTTCGACATCAACAACCGCACAGTTATTTATTGGCCTGTTCACTGGCTTGTGTGTCAGTGAGACATTGATCTGGGTTCAGACTTCAAAGAAGGACCATTCATGTTAACTCAGTCTCTGCATGATTATCCGCTCCTTCGTAATAAGGCAGTATGATCATTAGGGATTACGGCGATAACACGGATTTGGCTCTGATAGAAAAGCATTCACCTTCTCCGTCCCGACTCATCATCATTATAAATAGAGAGTAGTTCTCTTCAATAAAACATTATCTTATTTTTGGTCTTGTCATTTGAAGCTTTCCAATTGAGCGATACCACACTTTTGCTTAACTCTAAAAGTATAAAGGCCTAAATTAAAGTAATCTGCCTAATAAAATCTATAATATAAACAATCTTAATGCAACAATGACTAATATAAAAGTGAATAAGGTTCTGCCTTGTGTTATTATGTATAGTGTTTAAGCAAATAGTCATTATTATATTAGGTTTTGAAATCGCTATCTTACATACACTTTTTAAAACAGCAGTACTTTTTCCCTGTGGTGAAGCAACCACAGATGATAATAATAGAAGATATTTTCTATCAGATAATACTGTAATGGTGTGTCCATTACAGACGTTATCCAACCTGCAACCTGGTTGATCGCCATGCAGTATCCATATACCGTATTGATAGACGTAGCATGCGACAACTCATATGGCGCATGGTTGGATAAGGATATTAGGATTACGTATAGCTTAGATGGAATTCGTAGATTGTAGATCATAGACGCCTTAGCTATTACCCCCTAATATCTGACGTATATATAAAGCAGGATTCCTGGATACAGGAATCCTCATCGTTTATACTCTCATATAACGGTTCCACCTTCGGGTTATTGTCTACATTGTCCGACTCACAGCAACGTACACGATTGTAAGTATCCTGTGGTCTGCACTGTTACAAATACATATTGGTTCAACATTATCACGAAGTGTACTTATATAGTAACTTTGTCTACACAGATTAAGAATCACACCATATGAACGGATGGGATAAACTCAACAGGACATGGAATTGACTCCAATATAGCAATGCAGTCATTGCACTGCATGGCGGATGTCAAAGACATCCTCAGATCTGCATGATCAGTGTGATGTAGAAGGATCAATTGGTAACAATAAGGAGTCGCTGAGACCGTAAAATAAATCTCTGTTCTGGTTGTCTTTTCATATGCTAAACTAGTGCCTTATTTATACTGTTGACTACGGCACATCTTTGACTGTCCTTCTAGCATTTTCTAGTTATTGAAGGTACATTTGTCATCTAGTGATGTTTCACTGAGTGTCGCTCTTCACTCTAATTGTTTCACTTTCATATTTTTATCCGATTCTTCTTTTATCCGAACTTATGTTTATCCGAATTCATCTTTATGCGAATTATCATGTCAGCCACGACAATCAGAACAAAGAAAAGGATCCTATACGTCCTCTATCCATCCAAGCAATTCTGAAGACGAAATGCTATCTAAACTGCCATCGCTGATTTAATACACAAAAAGATATAAAAGCATAGAGTGCTGCACTCAATAAAGCATATCCAAAACTTCAAAGGTACTTTTATAAGACTCTTTTCATTCTTTGTCCCATTTATTTAGTTCACCGACCATTCTCGCTCTGCCTTTAAGGTAGTCTTTTACATTAGTATATTTTTTTTCAAAGAAATAAAAAAAAAGTCTGCACGGTACTTTGACAGAGTAATTCATTTCATCGTTTCCATGGCGTCATATTATGCTACCAGGCCTTTTGGAAAAAAAAAGTTTAAACAACTTTCTGCAGTGCCTGTGACTTAAGCATAGAAACATCACCAGGTATGGTCAAATATGTATGCTTGTGCATAAGATTTCTTTCTTACCCTCCTTTGCTTCCCTCCCTCTTTCTTTCTTCGCATAACCATAAGGTGCTGCTGGCTATATGCGCTCATAGCTACAATATGCTCAATACAATATTAATTTGTGAGTTCAAAGTCAAATCGAAGGGCGCCACAATGCGCTCTCATTTATTCGCAATAATACAATATAAGTCATTGGCGGACATACAAAATTGCGCAGCGAACAACCCAACACAATGTCGCTTCAAATCAATTCAGACACGGTGATTCGAATTTCTCGGTCCAAAGAAGCTCCTGTCATCGACCCATATCTACAATTGGACAGCAGTAACGCATACAGCGATATCCGGACCAGCGTAAGTAAACAAGGCAACTTGCAAGCAGTCTATAACCATCATTGGATCAATTTCATGTGTTTGGCAGATCCGAGTACTGGAATGTGTAAGAAGATTTTATGCAGTTGTTCCTTTTGACTTTGGCACGAAAAAATTGGTCCGCAAAAAGCTCAATGGATAACCCGCCTAATCGATACGAATTTACTGCAACGTTGGCATCCAATGTTACATTTTTGTTTATGCGGGAACTTATCGTGCATCTGATGATTATGAGGGATATGTGGCGCCTCGATCCAAATACCGGAGAATTCGCTCCATAGCATATGACGCTAAACGAAACTATGGATGGTCCCGTATTGATGTATGGCCATTATGCCGTTCCTCTTCCGTAAGTTACTTTTTTTTTGCCAGAAATAGAAAAAAAGAATACTAATTTCATTCATGAATACACAATGTGAATATATCCGTTTTATTGATGCTTTTTACATTTTTCTTATAAAAAGTCATTTATCTTCTTATAAACGAGCAGCTATCAATAGGGACGAAGACGAAGAATCCTGTGTCGAGGATCTTACAATTACTTGCCCTTCACGTAGCAGCACAGCCAGATATAAGCAAAGCGCTAGTGACTCTCCAACAAAACCTGAAAAGTCCAAGTAGTGTATACTAGTGACAGATATGAAACATCTATAACAAGTATAAATGTTCTATTGCTTAAGTACAACACAATAGTGTATCAGGCGAAGACAGCGGCAGTTTATAATTGCGGGCTGCGGAGAGACTTCAAATTCGCGTCAAGAAAAGCGCGTCGCGTACCTTTCTTTTTTTTTTTTCGCGCACAAACTATCAAAATGCCAAAAGCCAAGAATTCGGCCACCACAAAGGGAAAGGTAAAATCAATACCGTCAGAGCATTCTACAGCTGTCTAAATGTGAGCATTAGGAGCCTACTAAGCGGGCTACTCGTCAATCGACGAGAAACAAAAATGTCGCAGAGATGTTTGCAAAGCAAAAAAGTATTAGTTTTGGAACGAAAGGCACGCCTTTTTTTTCATTGACCATTTCCTTCTTTAGCTACAGGAAAACGGACAAAATCAACTCAACACGATGAAGAAGAAGACGACGACGAAGAGGATGAATTGTCCAGTGAAGCTTCGGATGGTTCAGCATCCGAAGACAGTGAAGTCGAGATCAGTTCCAACAAGCGACGACGTACCACCAAATCACACGAAAAGCGCAATACTCAGTCAACGCGCAAGCAACGCAAGGGAAAGCGATCAATTGTGTCGCCAACCGAGGTGTCACTCACACACAACAGTCAGCTCTTGGAGCAGATACCGTCGGACAGCAACAACACCCTCTATGGTAACAGAGAGAATGCAGGGTGTACACGGAAACTTACGGTTGAGTATAGACCAAGTGTCAGCGGTCAATCCTGATATCGAAGAGATTGCCGCGGTCTGGGTGGATGAGTATCGCCGGGACAAGGCTGTTGCGCTGCGAAGTCTGGTGAACTTTATCATTCGAGTAGGTGGAGATGGCTTGTCGTGGTTCAATTCGTGAGCTTATATTTTTCAGGGATGCGGTTGCATGACGGCAGTAACGGAGGAAGCGTTTGAGAAGGATGATATTGCCGTTGAAGTGCTGCAGGAGCTTCAAGAAGAGCTGGCCAAGTTGCCGCAGCCCG